GCTGAAGAAAAGCAGGGTGAGAGCCTTCCACCCCCTACATAGGGGGACGCCCTTCATGATTGAGAGAATGGCTTCGACGAGGGTGACAGTGGCTTTCCATCGAAGCAGCACTCGAGAAGCCTGGAAGAGGAAGGAGATCATGGATGACTGGATCAATTCCCGCAACTCAGATTTGGCGGATGTCTATGAATGGAGGGGCTACAGTTTTTTCTATGTGAGATTCCCTCCGAGAGAGACTGAAGGACATGTGGGCTCGGCATCTTCGAACCCACTTCCACCTCCTGGCTCGGTGACTCAAGGTCCGCATGGGTATGGAGAAGATCAGCCGTCGAGGTCTCGAGCAGTAGAAAGGGGAAGGGCTGCGCTGGCAGAGGCGGGGTGTCGCTCCTATGCTGCTGTGGAGGCATCGGCTGAGGGCGCTTTGGGGCATGCGAGTGAGGAGAGCCAGGGCTATCGAGTCCGACTGCAGGGCTACGAGAAAAGGGGTGAGACCGGCACCATCGAGGGCAGCTGGACCCGGGCGCTGGCTGGTGAGGGATTGATCGAAGAGGATCCATCCCAGATGCCTGTTTGGTTAGGCATTGAGACTGCCGTGACTGGAGGGAATCGGGAGCCAGAAGACACAGATAGCTCCCATTCTCGCGGCAGCTTTGAAAAGGTATGATGTTGAAAACATCAGGGGGAGTGAGAAATCCTGAGCACCGCTCCACCCTTTTCTTTTGAGGATGACACGTCAGTCATGAGCACTGAAACCAACCCAACCTGAACTTTGGCTCAAGAAATAAGTGCGGCAGCTTTTTTAGCTTTTGGTGTCGCACGCTCAGTTTCAAAAACAACACGCTCCATGAGTTAGTTGGAGTCGAACTTGAGATGTGAAGAAGCAGAAACTCGGATAAATTCCTTGAGGAAGAGGACCTGTTCCTATTCACAGTTCCAGATTCAGCATCGCTCATCATCCCCAGCTTCACCAACTCAAAAACATGAGTCGCCCGGCTTTTTTGTGCAGGAAAATCAGATCACCGAGTCCTTACAGCAAACGGCGTCTTGGCAGACAAGCGATGCTGGCGGAGTATTAAATGGGTGGATGCATTTCCAGCATCACCAGCCTTTGAACTAGCGTAGACTTTTGACATGTGATTCATGATGCCCCAATACGAAAAAGTTTTCAAGAGGATCTTCCTCAAAAGCAGCAAACCAAAACGGCCAAAAGCGGCCCAGACCGAGGCAGAAGGGCCGTCATGGTTGCACATCTTTCCAACGCCACATCAGGTATCGAGAAGGGCAAAGCCTGCCGGTTGAGTGTGAACCAAACTCTTGTGTCAAATGGAAGGCTAGGGTCAGGTGAAAAGCGGGACAACATGTGGTTCATTCGGAAAACGAAGAACAAACGTGGTGAGTTATTGTGTTTGGCGACCTTCCCGGAAGACACCTGCTTTGCTTGCCAAGGAACTGTTGTTTTTCTTTAATGGACTTTTCGGGTAACGTGACTCCGCAGGCTTCGCAGGTGTAAGGATCATTTTTTCAGCATCTCCGTGCTGGCACCGGCACCTGCAGCTGCCTCCAGGTTCGACAGGTCTCCGAAACCGCCAGCATCCTAGGCGCCTTAACGTTGGCGAACGCTTTGGGGGACTGCAGTTGTTGCGGGGTGAAGAAGGACCAAATCCTAGTCTCCTCACGACTCACATTTGTATGCCAAACATCCCTGATTCATGCATTGAAGTGGGACTGGTGGGGACTGCAGTTTTGTTCGAAGAACGTGGACATCGATGTCCATTGCTGGGTCGGTGAATCGTTTGTTGTGATGATGAAAATGGGTGCGAAAAGCAAAGGTTACCATGAAACGGGCAGCCACGAGCTACGTACGAGATGCTACGAGTTCCCCAACCCCTTGTAAGGGGACGTGGAATCTTCATGGAATCCAAGTGGAACTTTGATACTCTCTGAACCAAATCCGAATTCCTTGGACCTACTGATGTTTCAAGATGTTTCAAGTAACCGTTTGTTTTTACTGCTTCACCTTCCTGGATTCCGATCATTTGCCTTTTGACATCCTTTGACTCCTTCATCTCGCTGGGAAGTTTATTCACATCCAATGTTTCTTTTGGGATAATTGGCTTTCACCAGCTTAAGTGGATGTTTGGTCGGGGTATTGATTTCTTGTCATGGATGGTTCTTTCAGAATCCCCCTGATGTTGGCTTTCTTCACCAGCCTTCCCCTCGCCTCCTGCGCGTCCCGAGCACCAGGCACCTACCTGCAAGGCGTTGGGGCCTTGGCACTGACTTGTTCTCAAGGTTGCACTCCAAAATGCTTCAACATGGAAGTGGATCATCAATCCCCCTCTTTGTAGAGCTAAAGTCATCTTTCAAAAGACCATGCCATACACTTCCAGGTCATGCGGGCGGTGTTCGGAGTGTTTCAGGATTTTGCCATTTGACTTCAGGTTCCATGGAAGTGAAAACGCCTGGTGTTTGGTAGAGGAAAATGCATTTTGCAGCCATGCATATCATGCCACTTCCATGTCTTCCGAGAGTCAGCTGGGTCCCAGCGCCTTTGCGCGAAGCTGGTCGGGGGGGTCCAGGCTGACACTAATCCATCAAACAAAAATAATATTGGGATTTATTGGAGATCTCTTTTTCTGCAGAGGATTTCTCTTTAACTCACCAGGCCACTGGAATGGTCAAATCAGGTGCTGTGGAGACGTGCAGTGGCCTGAAAACCTTCCGTGTCCTGCAGCCGAGATTTCCGTGACTTGTGTGGCGTGTTGGTGGGCGCCATGGCCTCCACAGAACCCTTGCTTCCATCGGAGGAGGGGAGCTGGGAGGTCCGGTCTGGGTCGCCCCGAGACAGGGTTTGCGCTTGCAGTGTGCGAAGCAGTGGAGAAAAAAGGCCTCCGTTTATGACATCAGTCTGGGATCCAATTCAAACCCTTTCAAGTCTGATTGGCTTCAGCTGCGCTGTATCACAACTGCCTAAAGAGGTGCTCGGCTGCAGCCCGAGCATGTCTCTCAAAGAATTTGAATACAATTGTGTTCTGGGATTAGGGACCCAGATGCAAACATAAGAATGGCAGCCATTTCCGCTTTCGGAGTTTCGAGCTTGCGGCTTAGCAAGGGGTACACACATGATCACACATGTGATTACTAGCAATCCACTGGGCGGTTGTTGCACAAGATTGGCCAGGCGTTAATCAAGCTGAGAACCAAAGGTCACTGGGTCATTTTAGTTATCTTACATATAATATATATATATATATCCTTCTACCTTTGGGTGCTTTGGATTTTTGTGCATTCCCAACCCCATGTCTCCAATCTGACCGGTTGCTTCCATTCAGTCGCCAGCGGCAAAAAGCCATCGCCAGCCGTCGCCAGGACACCAGCTGCGGAGGCAAGGTCAAAAAGGCTTGCAACTCGCTCCTGAAGTTCCTGGCCATCGTCCCTGGGACCCCAAAAAGACGGTGGACCAATTCCACCACCGATCGCGCCCCAAAACGCCGGCGGGCGCTCGACTGTGTGGTCGACGAAAAATGGGGCTTCCCAATGCCTCCAACAGGTGTGGAGCCGTAGAGGATGGCCGAACTGAAGCCACTGAGTTCGCATGGACCGAATCCCAAACAGCGAGAAATGGAGTGTTAATGGGTTTCATTCTGGGAAGGACATGGAACCTAGACACGAAAGTGGTACGGCATACATGTATACCAGATCTAGTACCATTTCGACATTTGATCCCTGAAACCACCTACCCTGCCTCGCAGGCATTCATCTCTGCCATGATGTGGAAAAAAGCGGGTCGAATGAATGGATTTGAGGTCTTCGTGGTGCTTTTTGCGTTGACCTGGCTGCTGCAATTTGCCTGCTACAAGTGGGCGACCTTAGGCGCACCGACCCAAACGGGACCGAAAACAGCGGACCTTAGGCCACGCAGTTCTCCAGTGGTCCAGGGAAGTCCGTCTGAAGGATCAGGCATACAGTGGCACTTTTGGGGGGCAAGTGGTTGTTGTGTGAGGATTGGTTTAATCACAATCAGGACGGCTGTTTGATGCAAGTGCGGTGTTTCCCCATGGCGTTCCAGCTTTCCAAAAGCCTCACTTCGCTTTATGATGTACAAGACATGTTCTTTCGGGCCAGTGAACCTGTGACCGAAAACGAAGAGATGTAGGCAGCCCGTAGTTTGAGCTAATTTTGCTTAATGGGATTTTGTATTTTCTCTATATTGACTCTATATGGGTGAATGCCCTTCTGGAGAATATGTTTGAGTTGATTTTTCCTCGTTCGCAACTGCCAGGTCGTCTAAGTCAGAGTGACGTCGAATCTCTTCGAATCCGTCACCGCTGAGGATGTTCACCTTCGAAACTGACGGACTACTCCTATCCCGGCGGAGGCGGAGCGTTTCTCTCCCACGGTGCGGAGCGGAACACAGGTGGACCACTGGTCGCAAGCCGTTCGATCTGGGGAGGCACACTTCCCGGAATAGCCTGGTCATCGAGAAAAAACCATGGTTTTACTATAAGGAGACTAAGGTGTTCACTCTAAAATCAGATCAACCATTTACAAAATGGTCGAACGGACTTCCAGGGACTTTGTAATTTAGCGATCTGAGCCAACTGTGCAAAAGAGTTGCTTCACTTGGCTCGTTTTAGAGATGATGTTGTTTCCAGAAATTCTGCACAGTTTGGAAGGTCCAGGTGAACCTTCTGCTCTGCTTGGGACATCTTGGGGCCTCCAGCAGCGATCCTGGAAGACTCCACCTCTCACGTGATTTCACCTCTTCTGGTGTCCAGCTTGGCCGCAAGAAACGCCGCTCCCACCACCCTTTCCACCTCACCAAAGTGGCTTTGCGGCTCTCGCACAAAGGAACCCCATTCATGCCACGCCCATTTGGTCACTTTCTTGGTTCATCCATGCAACTTCCGCCGGTGGTGGGTTTTGCTGCCCCTGCAGATCGTCCGTCACCGGACCCGCGCGGGAAAAGTCACCCAATTCCACCACTCCTCCGCGTCGCCATGTGTCACATCGCCCATCGCTCGGCAGCAGGAAAGAATGCCAGCTTCAATTTGCTTCCTGCGATCCACCTCTTGGCCGAGCGGTCGCCCAATTGGTACGGGAGCGCCTTTGATGTGATTCCCTCCAACGAGGCGCGGGATGTTCATGCGCACCGTGTGTGGTACAGATGCAGCGCGCCAACAGGTGTTGGCGCGTGTGTTTGTTCGATGGAGAGGATGTTTGGGCTGTGAGGGAGGTGGAAAGAGGATCTCCAAAGGTTAAAGAAGATATCAGGATGTTAAGGTATATACAGTATACAGTATATGCACTTTCTTGCAAAACATATACACAATGTGCTTTGCTCAATAAGGGAAAAATGGTTTGATGGTTGGGTTGTTACAATTCCCATTGGACATGGGGCGCGACCCATTTCATGGCACTTGGCGTTATGGCGAGATCCATTCTCAGCGCGCGTGGTTCAGCCGGTGGTGGCAAGGCGTCCACGGTGGCAGCAGCGCCCGTGGGCACGTGGTGGCAAACTTGGGGGCCAATCTTTCCGATCTATACCTATGAGGCTGTGGGCGTAAGTTGAAGGGCGGAATATGGTGGAATGGCGGGAGAGACGGTTGAGTGGATGATGTTTTTTAATGTGTTTGTTGTGTTTCGATCAGATACACAAAAAGGGGACTCAATTGGGGAAGAAGGGGAGGATTACAAGAGAAAAATGGTCTTCCGAAGGCTTATGATCCATGTACGGCCATTTCCATGATTGTTTGAAGAGGAGTATGAAAGACATTTCGGATGTGCCCCCAACTCCTTTGATTTCAAAAGTTCTCTATTTGTGAACTTGCATGTACGAGTAGTTTGCTGAACTGGTCGCCCCATTTGCCAGGGGGTTGGTGATGGTTGGAGTTTGGCCTGGAAGACACATGATCTGGGCATGGAAGGTGGTGGGACGATGGATCTTAGGTGATCTCCTTGAAAGAACTTCTCTATAACTCTCTGCCAGCTGCTTAGAAGTGAGGGGGTATCCAATACTCCCCTTTAAACAGGGAACCGTTCGGGCGACCAAGGAAGTTCCCGTTCAGCACTTGCTACGTTCGGTCATCTCGTTTTGTCTCGCACCACTTGCTACGTCCTGGGTGGTGATTGGATGGAAATGGACCATGAAAACACATGGTCCATGGAGGGTGACCGACCGAGACCGGTGGTACTCCTGAAGTGGAACATCACCTGGTTTCATATTCGGTCATCGGAAATCGGGGCCATGCCATCCACTTCTATGATTATTTCATATCCCTTGAAATACTGGCAGACTGGGGCTACCTTCTCCGACTTAATATGTCTTTTGCTGACTGAGTCATGTGTAGTTTTGCTCATTTTGGGTTCGACTACAAGACCTAGGACCTACAGAATGGCAATAGAACAATAGGGCGTATTGGATTCTAGTATCATGTCCCCCAATAATTTGTGAATATCCTAGGCGCTCCATGTATGGAGCATTTACCTACATTGACTCTCTGAAACCACCTTCACAATGGAGGACTTTGAATCCCTCAGTCATGCAAAAGTCGCGAAGCGTGAGCAGGACGTGGCCAACTCGCAGACTACCGTGGTCATGAGACGAGACTCGGCTGCCGTGAGGCACCGCTTAAATCCCCAACCCCCTAGCCTTCCGAGATTGTAAAAGAGTTCGGTTGACCCGGAGTTGTAGTGTAAAGAAAGTCCTTAGTAAACAATGGCTCTTCGATGTTGTTCTGGCTCTTCAATCAATGGTGGGCAACTGGAATCCTTGGGCCAAAGTTGTGTTCTTGTCTTAAACGTGTTTTTCCCGACAACTCCCAGAGAGCCCTGGCACAGCCATCCAACAGATTGGTTTCTGTGAAAAGATGTGCATCTTTCAGCGCGGCCGCGATGCGTGTTGGAGATGAGTGTTGGACGTGGCCTATAGATGCAAAGAAACAACAGAATGCGAATGAGAGAATTCGCGTCGCTAGGCAGTCAGATGGGATAGAAGGAGATGTGAAGAAAGAATCTCGGGATTTTTGCAATCTTTTCCTTTGGCCTGCTTGGCTGCAGCACGAAGCGCCAGATTTGATCAATCTGTTCCACCCCAAAGCCACAGTATTTGGCTTAGATATGCTTAGATAAGGGCACCCTCTTGAACAATCAGGGAAGCCGAGCAGAGTAAGAAATGAAGAAAACGCATTGTACGGCCGCCTATGGCCTAGGAAAATCCCGTGAGAAGAACCCCAGCATGAGAAGAACCCCCCTATAGGGGCCCTAGGGCCCTCAAACCGCTTGTCCAATCAGCGGACCGGACCGCAGAGTTAACGTTGAAGAACAGCCCAAGCAGTGCGCAAAATTGGAACTTGGAAATGAATGGAAGGGCTAAAGACCTCTCAGAAGAACTATGATAGGATATACCTCGGGCAGGACCTTTGATATAGGTCTTTTGGGTCCGCTTTGCGAACGGTTAGAGCTTTTCTTGGTGTTCGATGACTTTTGGAACCGAACCCTTGGGCCTTTTTCGGGGGGCGGTCTGACAGTTCATCGGAGACACCGGGCACTTCAGGAAAGCTCTTGAGACTGGGGCAATCCCATGTGATCCAGCGGTGTGATGGTGAGGGCCCAGTGATCTACTTTACAGATGCTTGGTGTGCTGAATCTTGATGCCCAGCATGTCTATTTTTAGCTTCATGTTGTGCGTGTGTCAGGAGTATATCATGTTTCGGCAAGTTTGGTGTTGTTATGTGCTTTTGCTGCTTTCCAAATCGATGGGAACGGTTTCGTACGCTTGTGGGGATCTGTCGCTGAACTCATCGCTTGCCATGGGCTTACATGGGCCCCACGCGGGGGCCACCGAGACCCCAGCTGTAGCAGCTAGATGTTTCACTAATTTTCACGTGTATATATACATAACCCCTTACAGTATACTCGGAGCAACGAGGAGCGACGTGTTTTCTTGTTCAAGGATCTCATTGTAAAACCAGTGTTTTTGCTTCTATTTGTATATTGAATTATAGTCTCGACGTTTCAGCGGTCACGGACACCGAGGAAGGAATGAACTTCTTCTCCAATCGTGTGCGAAAGATCCTTGGCCGAGCGGCCGTCCGGAGCGAACGGGTCAAAGCGACCATGTTCCGCTTCCATGTGTGAAAGTAAGAGGTGGGTAGCTGCAGGTGTCACAGCTGGTGTGAGCTTGCCCCACACTGGCAGACGCCATTTTCCTGTTGTGATGATCGTGATCGCTGAACCTCTAGACCTTTTGATAGATTGCAATGGTGCTCATCAGCCACCTGACAATGTGATTGTCCAATCTGATCACTGACTTCTACATAAGTGACATGAGGGCTTGAATCACGGTGGTGCAAACAGTTCCCAGACACTCCATGGACTGACCTCCATTGAAATTGAGATGGTTTCAGGGGTCAGTTGAGGTTTATTCCGGTCCTATGGAGCGAATTCACTTGGTTTTTCATCACTGATTGACTGGTCTTGATGATCCATGATTGACTGACTTTGTCAAACGCTTTCGATGGATTAGAAGAAGTGAAGCATGCGAAAAACGAGACATCTGGCGAATACATCATAGGACGATGCAATAGCCCCTGATGTGCGAATACTTCGCTATAGTGCGATCGGGTGTTCTCTCCTTCACAGATGGAGACATAAAGCATAAAGCATATAGCTCTGATTTACTTTTGAATTCCTCCTATGACTGTCCTGAAGAACTCTATTCCCACAAATTGTTGTATGTTGTGTGGGGATTGCCCGAAAATGCTTTGGGATTTAAGATGATTTGAGCCAAGAGTTATGATTTGACGTTTGTTCCTTCGATTTGTTCGTTCGCATCCCATTTTCCTCGTCTCCTCGTCCAGGTTGTTCCACATGAATCAAGCGATGAGCTGCTTGGTACGACGTGGGCAGTCAGCTTTTGTAATATAGGTGTATAATGGTGTATACATAACTAGTTTGATATTAAGTACAATATCAGACTAGTTATTTTTTGCCAAAGCAGGTGAGGAGGAGACTTGCACTTGTTCAGAGGGGAAGTGTTGCCAGGGCTCCCTGTATAGAAACACAAGTGCCGGCAATCAATCCCCTTGGATGAGGCAACAGTCCATGCAAGCACTCCTTCACAATACAATTGATATTTGTCCAGCAAGTTTTTGCAAGACATGGCACCTGTGTATATATATATACATATACTGTACCACCGGGGTCGATCTAGGCGCGTAATGGTGTGTGTTTATGGATCGATCGATCTATCTATCTATCTACCTTCTTATCTGCCTATATCTACCTATCTACCTATATCTACCTATCTACCTCTATCTACCTATCTATCTATCTGTCTATCTATCTATCTATCTAGTTAGCTAGCTAGCTAGCTAGTCCATACATGGATTTGCATGAACAAAATTTACCGAGGTGATGACGTTCTATGCTTCTTGGAAGCCCGACCATGTCAAATGATGTTCATTCAACAATTACTGGAGAGCCGGGTTCCTATCTGGGCTGACCTTCAAGCTGTGCTGGCTCGTTGCACATTCGGAACAGGAGTCCACTTGTTTTACCCACCGGAAGGTTGGGCCTATCCAGGTTCGTGAACCACAAAGCAGTGAAGGTGGTACTGCATTTGTTTTTGGTGTAATCTGTCATGGCAAGGGGATCAACAAGAATCAGGCACAAGTGCAGCACCTTTGGTTACATGGTTCCGCACACAGCAACAGAAGCTTCTTCTGGACATTAAACACTACATTTGTTCCACCGACCTTCACGCTTCAGTTGACCCAGTTGAGCCCGGGAAGTACTCCTGGAAGACCTGGCTAAGCACTCTAACCTAATCGCTATGGCCTCCGACCTGATAGGGATGGCCTCCACCTTAATAGCGGTGGCCTTTGTTGGATTGGCAAGGCTACAAGATCTTCCTGAACGATGAACTGGTCGCGGTCGCAGAGGAGATCACCGGTGTTATGTGAGGGCCCGGGCGATGGTAGGGCGACGGACTGAGGACACCAATGGAAAAGAGCATCAACGATTCTAATTCTATGGATGGATCAGGATCATCAATTTGGCTTGGCATGTTCATGCATTTTCTTCGAACGGATGTTCTCCGTTCGAACTGCTTCCACCCCTGGCATTCGCTGCATACCCTTTCACCGGTGGCGCAAGGAGACCCAGCAGGGCTTCCAGTCGATCACCTTCCGCGGCGTGGAGAGCCGGAAAGAGTGCCTTGGCCTTTTCGTCTGTGTTTTTGTTGTTTTGAAAGAAAAGAAGGTGTTAAAAACCCAACACCTGGGTTCATCAACCGGTGCATTTCGCTCTCCGTATGAACCTTGTGCGTGGTTTGAGACCCTTGTGTTTGACTTGCGTCGACGCTCTGCCTCTCCGAGGTTGGCCTCTTCGGTCTTGCAGGAACGTCACTTCCATGGGAAGTTCGTGTCTTGCAACCAACCCGCCGGTCGCACGTCGAACGCGGACCGCGAGGGACGTCGGACGTCCGGCGACTGAACATGAACGACGACCCACTGCCCAGTGGTGGATGGGACTTCTTGCCTCGCAGGTGGGGTAGAAGGAGTCAAAACGGAAGTTGCAGTTTGAGAACGTTCTGGCAAGAAGAAATTAAAAAGAGAAAATAAATTATTAGAGAAATGTTTGTGTTTTCATGTCTTCATTTGTTTCTTTTCGTTCTTCCCTTTGGCGGGAAAAGAACCCCTCTTGGAGAGTGTCGAAACCGGTGGTTTCGGAGCGAATGATTCTGGTTGGGATGGAAGTATGAGGGGGACGCATTGGTGGTTGTTCTGGGAGTTTGGGGCTGGGAGGAAAAATCAGATGGGTGGTTTCAGAGATGTTGATGTTCAATCTTTACCTCGGGATGAACCCACTGACTCACCCAGTTTTAGCTTAACTATTCACTCAAAACCTATTATAGTCCAATTCTCCGCCACTACATGCCACTACCACAAAAAGAAAAAAAAGCATGGAAACAGGGTTTAACAAAAAGCGGGTTATAACGATGAGCCGGAGTTTAGACGTCCAATATGGATATATTTTTGGAGTTTGGTTCACCATCCACCAGACGTCCAAGCCGTGGAGATCGAGATGCGCGTGGGGGAGGGCTTTCAGATGAAGAAGACGCGGTCACCGTTCGGACGACACGTAGAAGAGCATTCTGCAGGCGATGAGAGCTGTTCTTTTGCTTGTGTGTTTTTTCGAACTTCGAACAACTTGTTGCACTGGATTTTAAGACATGATAGTGTATGGCAAGTGCTGATGTGTTTGATAGTATATGATAGTATAATGTTCTCCCTATCCTTTTCCCTTGTTGCGGAAGAAGCCGAAGACGGCATGTTGCTGTGCACATGTCGTGCCAATGTGAGGACCTTTGGCTCGTTCAGAATCACAAGAAGGACCGACCGACCATGTTGGCACGACCGGCTCGTCGCGTTCGCTTTCTTCGCACAGTGACGACCCCACACGTGGTCCACAACCTGACCAAATGTCCACCAAGCAATATTTTCTTGGTCGGCACCCGGCACCCGGCACCAGCACCAGCAACCTGTCTCCACCGCGTGCACAGCCAGCTCACAGCACCAGCACCGGCACCCGGTACCCAGTACCCAGCACCCAGGACCAGCACCGGCGCCAGCAACCTGTCTCGACCACGTGCACAGCCAGCTCACAGCACCAGCACCGGCACCCAGCACCAGGAACCTGTCTCGAAAGCGCGCACGGCAACTCATTGTTATTTGAGTGAGAACCCCATAGCTTCGCTATTTGGGGAAAAATCCGAATCATAAAAGAATGTCCGTCCTAATACACAAACTAGCAACTGAACAACTTTCAAGAAGAGAGAGGTTCCCTGATTCAACATAACAAGATGTTGCTAATTATATTGTAATTTAAGTGAACACTTTATAAAGTAAAGGTGCTAACTTTCATGCCTAGTGCAACGACATCGGACAGACTCTTCGTGGTTTGATAGACAAAGTGCGCGAGTACTAGCGTGCTTGTCAACCCGCTAGCATTGAAATGCATATGATGTCCCCCCTGTAACCCTGCTGAAGTCAGAAGACACCACAAATACCACACAAAATCGGGACGCCATTGCTTTCAACAACAAAAGCGTACAGCCACGACCGGGCGTGACCGAATATTATGGTGTTCCTCAAGACCCCTAGCAACAATATATTTTTATAGGACGTCTAGTAGAGTCTAGTAGGCAATGGTTTTTGCGACCGTGCCTTTTTGCATCCCTCGGGAGTTCAAATTCCTGCGCCACCCCTTCCCGGTCCTTCTCGTCCTGTCGAACGGAGCGGATTTGCTTGGACCCTGTGGACGGCCGTCGTCACGGTGTCGTCGACGCGGTTGTCACAACACGTACGCGCGGAGTCTGAGGACTTGATCCTGCCAGACTATGTCGCCAGTGCCACCACGCTCTTGTACGCCTTTTTCACCTTACATCAAGACCGGCGGAAGGTGATGTCGCACGAACATGAGGACCTGGGTGTGTTGATGTGTGTTGGCCTGTGGCCTTGTGGAAAGCGGCCGGTGGCTGCTCGAATCTGATGAAACGATGAAACGAATCCTTTGATGTTGTTTGAATAATCTAGGCAAGTGCAAGCTGGACATGGAGATGTGTTTTTCATTCGAAGCACAAATGCAAAGATCCCTAGATCTCCGGTTTTTCGGCCACCTCCAAAGGATCAGAACAGCCTGTCGTAGTTGTTCCCAACAATTCCAAAGGGGTGTGGTTTTCAGTCCCATCCAATGAGTGGATAATGGGCACTCCTATTCTCCAATAGCCACCCCTCTGGAACTCTGACGGTGTGACCATAGTGTCAACAAGTCCTTTGTTTGGGGACAGCATGCAATGTCATTCTCCAAACCCGTTCTGTCAATGAACGACCTTCCATCCAGTTCGATGGATGTCTTAGCTGCCTTTGCTGGGGCCTTGCACAAGAAAGCAACGCAACACGGCAGCGCTGCAGCACGACTCATGTGTGTGTGGGTGGTTGTGTGTTCAATCCCCATTCTCGCAGGAGCACCACGACAATCCCCACTTCTTGGCCGCGGCGAAGCGACTCAACGCCTCGGACGCGGAGTTCCAAGCGGCGACTTGGGCCGAGACGGTCGGCGGGAGATGTGGAGATGTGGACGACGGAAAGACCGCAAGCGAAGCAACCCCATCCTCCGATGTGAGAACAAAGTGACCCCCAAATAGATATAGAGTGTGGATTTGCTTTTCTATTTGGGGGTCCATGAATGTCCATGATATATATAATACACTATATCAATCTGCCAGTTTGATGGAGTGTTTGGCAAGGGTCAGGGCTTCTTCGATGGCGGGATTAATCGAAGCAATGGTTTTTGCGAAGTGGACACGAACACGAATTCCTCCAACGAAGACATCACAGTGGAAGTGGAAAATAGATGAACATGACCTTTGGGGAAGATGATGTTTCCTCGTTCCTCTATACAAACATGGTCCAATGGTGGTTGCCATCTCGAGTGTATCACATAGACACTCTCGCAACAAGCTGTCCCAGCTGTAGTGTTTGTCGCAGCTGTAAGGGACTTGAGGGTACAGGTTTGATTGACACCGGTAGTCAGCTAGTTCTTGAATTGGACAAGTCAGGCTCCACATGGCTTGTTCGCGACGAAACAGTGGATTTGAGGCTGGTTCGCGACCCGAGCACGTGACAGTGCCGATCGAAATGCCTGTGGAGATGATTGAACCCATGAGGAATAAGAGTGATCGCTTTGTTTAAGACGTAATTTGCTGGTCCCAAAACAAAAATTGCTCAATTGGACCCTCATCTCTCAGATCCTGGCAATGAACATCGGTGTCCAACAATTGAGAGTTGACAAGTTTGTGCTGCTTGCATGTGCGATGGATCTGATGGATGAGATCTTTAAAAGCGTGAAACACCATGCAGTATAGCTGATCGGTTGCTAGGCAGTTCCTCAGCAGATCACCTGGTGGAGTGACACGTCGACCAGATGTGCACAAAGCCAGGCGGATGTTGAGAATTGTTGAGATGATATAGCTTCAGCCACAGAGAAATGAGCTGAAAAGAACTGGCGGCTGGCGGTTTGTGCATGTTTCTGCGAGAAAAGATTACAGTATAGACTTTCTAGTGGCACCCTGAAAACCACCGGGTCATCAAGATTCAAAAAGGAGCATTTTCTTCCAGGAGGCCTTGTGCAAAAGGTCGATTTTAGTCTGCAGGGAGTTTAAGAGAATGGCCCGATATCCCTTTTTAGGCTTGGCCCGATTTACCCTCTGGCTCACTAACGCGGAAGTGGACAATGGATCCATGGACGATTTTCCACGAACAGGGTGGTGTTCGTCGTTCCATGTTGTGTACTCATTCAGTCATTCATATCGAAGAACCATCATTTCACGAAGGATTGATGCAAAACCAAGTCGACGGTTCTTTTCCTGGTCGAACGGCTCTGGCGAACCGGGTACGGTATGCCCCGATGACCCCGATGGACGATCATCTCAGCTGAAGTGGAACATCGAAGCTACTTCTCCCGTATTAAAACCAAACTAATAGCTTCTAACCTATTAGCGGCCTCCAACCTAATAACCTAATAGCTTCCAACCTAGCAGCTTATATTTGCCTATGCCACCGCCGTGTTGTCGCATTCGCCAGCTTCGGCGGACCAGCATTGCAATTGAAGATCCAGTGGTCTCTTGGAAAAGAGGGGGTATAGTAAGTATATATAGTACAAGCCTATATAAATCATATTCGTTATGTGTTTGAGATGGCACGTCCCTTTGTGCGCCGAGTGGGCTCTCGCCAGGGACGGTCCCATCCGCTCATCGTCCCACTCTCCAAGGTCATCTCCGAGCGTTGGCCCCTCCAGCAGCCCAAGACGTGACGGCCAAAAAAAGGGACCGGAAAGCGAGCGGAAAGGACGTGCAAGGTATAGAAATGTTTTGAACGGTCGGATATTACATAATTTACATCTTTGGCTCTTCGTTTCAACCCACAAAGATCAAGTCCGAGATAGTTGGCGTGACGTTGGGGGTTTGATGGGGTTTGGGGATGGTTTGGAATGGGACGTTGGGTGAGAAAAAGGAACCTGGAAGTGGAAAGTCCTGACGTCAGCAGACCCATGCGACGAGACGACCGGGACGACCGGGTATAAAGTCGTGGGCCCCCTTGGTTTATAGGAGGTAGAGAGAAAGGGGTTTGTACACCTGGATCGCGGGCAACAACTATAGATAGGAACCATTGTTTCGTTCAGTAGTCTATAGAGTCTAATTAGGGTCTTAGTCTGTTACTACCAGCGAATCTTCGTGGGAACTGCCTACATCCACTTGGGCACTGTGTGACAACCAAGTGCATCATGAGAGCTTTTTGCCACTACCTTTGGCTCCAGCTGAAGGGCTCCTGTACGCCGAAATTTCGCGACTTCGCTTGGGGGCCAAGCAGTGTGGAAACATGATGAAACACGGCCCGCGACTGGCATATTTACCTACACCGACCTAGGTTGACCTAGGGATGGATTGCAGACGTCGAAGGGAAAAGGTTCAGGCTCGTGGAATCAGGCATTGACCTCAGGGCCTTTTAAAGGTGTCCAAGAACAATCCATCTGAGGATTTCAGGGGTCCACTGCTTCACCTGGGCCGAGAGAGCGGCAGACCGAACTTGGAGTCATATGGAGGAGAGGTGCCCCGCATGACTCGAACGAACCGATGGGACGAAGGGATGGTCCCCACCCCGAGCCGAGCGACATGGGACTTTGTGATCTTCTGGAGACTTCTGGTGGAAGAATCTTTTTTTTTGTTCAGCGAGGCGTCGCGTCATGCGCCTTTTAGAGCAGTAAGCCTGAGAGCAGCTTTAATAAGGCGTTCCTCCAAGGAAGCGCATGAAGATGCATAAGGTATACCCTCCAACGAACGCGTCAGATGGAAGTGCAAAATGGACGCTTGGATGACTATGTTCCTTTACGACCAGGGTGGTTTCCACTTCCATGTGATGTGTTCGTTGGAGTGTATATGCCAGGTACATTTTCCCTGCAATCACCCCAATGTGTAGGCGAGTACGCCAGACCTGGATGCGGTGTTTCTTGCGTTTTCAAGTTCGGTGCCCAGACGACAAAAAAGGGAACCGAACGTTTTATATGATAGTCTTCTCGGAAGGCGCCTGGCGACCAGGTAGTGATGACATTCAATCACAAGACCTGTCCAGCATGTTTGCTGAACTTGGCCGGTTTGATGGGTGGGCATAAATGTTACAAAAGAGCTAATATGTATTACGCTGGGCCGGAGAATGCCCCACATTTGGTCGGTACGTGTTTGTTCTTGTAAAACCCAGATGGGACTGGCATAGGACTGCCGAGAAACGGCCAGGGGTGGTTGACTGGGGTGTCTGGGGCGGCAGTCCGTCCTGGCAGTCCCAGACAGGTCGTGTTTGGGACCGAACCCGTCTCCCGCGGGAGGCGCCCGGAACGATCGGGAGCGAGATGCTTCGCATACGGAGGAAATGACATGCCTATATGGGGGATCACGAGTCAATGGCATGAGGAGGCGCCCTGTGATATGCCAGTTGTGATCCCCTAGACCAAGGCTCCGTCTTTCGAAACCAAAAAAAGGCCGAACGGGGTCGGTTCGAAACCATGAAGAAAATGACGAAATAAGACCCTTTGGAACTCCAGGTGGTGAAGAATTTGGGCCTTTCCTTTGACCCAGGTTTCAAGGTCAAGCGGAAATAGATTCTCAGATGTAATAAGAAATGCGATTTGAACTTCGACCCCTTTGAACGCCCAAGCCTTCCGTCTCCTAGGCGATGGGCTTCAAGCGTACGAGGCCGAACAACGCTCTTCGCCGTTGGTTGCGGCGCCGTTGGTTGCGCAAACCTTCGGGGCTAGGGGTTTCAGTGGGCTGATGTGGCACCCCCCAGATGGTCACATGCCCAAGCGGAAGCGCAGATCAGGGTGGAATCATAGACACGACCTGAGTCCCAGATTGGACTGGCAGCCCATCAGGCCAGGGGTGGTGGACCTGGGGTCAATGTCAGCAAATATTTCAATCCCTGATGGAGTGTTTGAGGCAGACATATTGGGCGGAACTCCGTGGTGCCTCAGGGGTATCCAGAGCCCCAGGATGCCCGCATGAAGAGCAAGACAGACCTCCAAGGAATACCAGATCCAGATGATCCTTTGGGCAAGTTGTTTGCGCCTTTGACCAATTGACAGACCTTTATGTTATATTTTACTCCTTCCTAGTCTTGTGCCTGCTGTTCTTGTGGTGGTGGACAAGCTTAGGGAATGATGGTTTCGCAAGTTTGTCCGTTTTTTGTGTTTTTGAGGTGATGTTTTGGGCGGCAGGGTCAACAAACACCAGCGGGACGACAGTCTTTGTTCCTAGAAGGGGGTAGAGACAACAACACTTTTTGAGGGGAGTGGCAACAAACAACTGTGGGGGGCTCCAGTTTGTTTCTAGCATGTGGTAGTAGTAGGGGTTCCTCTAGATGGTACTGGTAGTAGTAGAAGTAGGAGTAGAAGCGGGCGTAGGAGTAGGAGCAGGAGGAATAGTAATAGTAGTAGTACTAGTAGTAGTAGTAGTAGAAGAAGAAGAAGTAGAGTAGTAGTAGAAGTAGGAGTAGAAGTAGGCGTAGGAGTAGGAGAAGGAGGAGTAGTAATAGTAATAGTAGTAATAGTAGTAGTTGTTGTTGTTGTTGTCGTAGTCGTAGTCGTAGTGGTACTACTCTTATTGTTTTTTATATTAATTAGTCGTCGTCGTCGTCGTCGCCGCGAATGAATGATCGCGCCTGGCAGAACTGCGAGGTACTTCTGGCTGCTCCCGCTTGTGGCATGGCTCTCCTGCACTGTTTTTGTGTGTGCGTTGTTTTTTTTGCGAAGAAGGGCGGCTTGGGGTGCATGGTGGACATCCGATCATGGGCAATGTCCGCTTATGTCCGCTTGGGATTTTATTGAGTTCGTTATGTCAAACACGCTGAACATTTGCTGTCCAAGGTTGGGTTCACTGGTCACTGGCCAGTCATTGTGATAGAATATATGTGAAAACAAGCTATATGAAACCATAGGAGTTAAAAGATACCATAAAATGGTTTGGGTCCCCTTTGGGAATTGCAGCTTGACTGTAACTTCAAATCTGATCTGCTCGGTTACAGCGGCAGAGCAATTGAGCGCATGTGTTTTCATCCAAAGTCATCCGAATGCACCGATGAAGGCAGAAATCCCGGTAGACGATCCCAAAAGCGCGAATAAGAAGACACACCAACATGTGGGGTCGACTCTTTCGTGCTGCGCCAGGGGAGCCTTCAGCTTGAGTTTTTTGAACAACTTGGCGCCAACGCAGAGGTGCGGTGTAAGGGTGTGATGACGACTCCCAGTGATGCGACTGAGCTCATCGCAGAGCACCGAGGGACAGCTCGCTCATCAGATCATGCTGCCTTTTGATGACTGTTGATGAACACCACCCCACTATAGCTGGATGGTCATTGGCCAGGAGAAGAGTTTGGGGGTTATTAAGAACTCCTTAAGAGGTTAATGACTGTCCAATCTCTCCAGTAACCATCCCATTTTGGGGTGGTTGGTTTCACTTCTTTCAGCTTCTTTCAGCTTCTTAACGACTACGACCGACCGGTGAACCCCTAAACCCAAGACCCCATCGCTGCTCGCAGCGATCCAGGTCTCTCAATCACCGGAATTCGTGGTGCTTTTCTGAAGAACCACCGTGGGACACGTCAGAGGATGTCAGATGTAGATCAAGCTGGGTAGTTAAAAGTTGATGACCTAAGGGAATAACTCAAAGAAGGAGGCTTTGTAGGACACTCTCTGGTGATCACAGGTTGGGGATCTCTCCTGAAATCACTACGACCGTTGTTTAAAACCTCATCCTATGTGATTCTTGCGTGTAAGGGAAGGTCCTTGGTCCCTTTGAACCATGCTCGTACCGGCTTCAGACCGCCACCGGAAGGCTTCCAGTCCAGACTTTGGTCTCCCACGCTGACCAGCAGGCACGAGCCGTGACACGTGACGAGAGGTGGGTGTGGATCATGGCACTGGAGGAGCCTCATGACATGGGATGTTTTGAAAACCGGCGGCGACCGCCAGGTCCTTGGGCCGGGGCGATCCACTTCCTCGCCTTCGGCCATTTTTGTGCTGGGTAGTTTGACCATCCTGGCAGCAGCGAAGGCCCGCCCAAAGGGGGCGCTGTCTCAGTAGCGAGGGCCAGACAGGGATGTCTTGTGCATTCGACCTGTATTCTTTCTCCAGAGCTTCTGAAGGGGAGGATCAACGGTGAAGTTTACACGGACCGTCTGAAGTTTACATGGATGATGTCTACACTGGATCATAACCCGAGAAAGCCGGTGTCAGCAACACCGGCTGCATTTGTCGAACCTCTCGTTGACTGGAATATTCCTACATTGACTCATTATATCTTTCAACATGAATGGATGGTTGGGTAGGGACATATTGAGATGTGAAACATAAAGTGGTTCTTAATGACATCTTACAACCACGCAAAGGTTCAATGTCCCATAGCTTGCTTGAACGACTGGCCACGAAGCGTGACAACCGTGTCAGTGTGACCGGCATGAGGAATTGCGGGTGGGGTTGGGGTGGATGGTTCGTACCCCCCCAACTGGGTCAATCCATGCAAATCCCCTTTGTGGGGACTGGGAACATGTTTTGTTCATGCTTTTTGGGGTTCTGGGACGAGTCTGACTGGTCAGTGTTTGATGTTTTTGAGGTCTTAATTCAACGATCAATGATTGAAAAGAAGGGAAGACTCAGGTTTGGGGTGCGGGTTCACCTCATTTGGGTGCGCTTTTCAAGACTTGGTGCCACTACCAGAAATCGATCGATTTCGATAGGATGAACGTGACAGTGGCAGTTCCAGAAGGCACCCAGGAGAATCTCGACGCTTGATTAAGATTTTTGTAAGATGGTGAACCCTCTACCATCCACTACGAGGATGGTGTTAGATCTCCCATATTGATCCAGATCATGCATGATCTTATGGAATACATTCAAGGGATGCAGTGGGAACCCCTTGCAGACTCCCGCGAAGACCGCCTGATCAACGCACGATTGTGAGGCCACTTCGAGGCGATCTGCTCTCATCAGTGTCTTGGCTCGAACGGGTGGTCTGCCGACCTGAGATCATGAGGACTGAAGACCTATGAAGTACTCTCCCTGCTAGTGGAGTGAAAACCACCTGTGGGGTCGTGGAATTCACAGTGGGTCATGCCATGTAGTGGGTGCCATCCACGTAACCAGTTCCGAGTGTACGACCATCACTTCAGAGCTATGGCACCCAGACACTGCATCGGACCATAGAGAAGCCACCTTCAAATTGACCTGGGATCCATTTACAGTATGTAGGTAAATGTTCCATACATGGAGTGCTGTTTGTGTACAGTATGTTTTGCTAATCGGAGTGATGAGTAAAGATATGTTGTTTCAAGTAGCCTAAAGCAACTCAAGCAACGACTTGTGACGTCATCTTCTCACGTCAAGTTCATCCGTTCATGTCTTTCGAATCGCACGGTCCCGGTGATGCCACAAGGGTTGGGTCGGTGTTTGTGGTCGGTGGTCGGTGGGTGTGTCGCAAGCTATAGAGTGTCCCAAGAAGCAGCGACAGCTCCGCTTGCTCCGCACCCCATGGATTCAAGGACATGCATGGCGTCAGTCAGGGTTGTGCCTGCAGTCAGCGGGTCCTTCCATCGCCGACCTGGTGACGGATGTGTTGGGTCTCTCGTATTATATAATTACCTGTAGGCTCATTTGTTAGCCTTTTTTTTGGTTACCGGGAAAAAAGTGGCCGTGCATCTTTTTTTGGTTTTCCCTGCACTCTGGAGTGTTCTTGAGCCTTCTTGAGCCTGGCTCTTGAAATCTTGGCCCAAAGCTTGGCATGTGTGAAACCGGGCCTTACTGAGCCAGGAGCTTGGCCTTAGTTGTGCTTTGTTGGTCCTTAGTGGTGCTTGTGTTTGCATTCAGGTTGCTTCTGCACGCTTTTGCCGTGTTTCCGTGCATTTTGGCTTCAAAGCATGCAAGTTGTTGTGGTTCCCTCTGTTGAAATGGCTTCACCTGCACATGTGGAAGGGGAAGACGGAGACAGTGCAGTCTTGGAGCAACAAATGAACCAGCTTCTGAAGGCGCTTTTGCACACTCCTTGTGATTGCATGCTGCTGGAAATCCTGTTTTGTGGAAAGATTAGCATAATTAGATTGATCCTTCAACAGGTGACAAACTGGTTGAGTAATTTCTGGCAGGACTGGCAGTCAAATGACATGTTGAAGGCCCAGGCTGTTGCTGCTAAAGCACTTGTTCTTTGGCCAGCTGCCAACACAGACAAGAAAAAAAAAGAAAACGGGCACTGAGTCGATTGATGGTAGTTGGAAAAGCATTAAGCTGAACGTAGATTCTTGGCTTGAAACAACTCAACGTGTTCGAAAGCCTGGCGGTTTGTGTCCTGAATGTGTGTGGAATTCTCGGCCAATGCTAGGTCCAGTAAAGCTGACTTTCTTTGTAAACGTACCGTGCAAGGAAGTTTTGAAGCCGCTTTGCCAACGATGCCTTGTTGCACCGAAGCTGTCTTCTGTTCCTATCCTTCAGCCAGTAATTGAGCAACTATTTAAGAGATGGGGGGTTCCTAGCCTGCATGCAGTTCAGCAGCAAGCCTGCAGCGTGTGTGGTCACAATACCAGGCCTGTGAGCAGAAATTGCCTGAGGTTGAGGGTACATCTCACAATTCAGATGCCAAAGCTTTGAAGAAGTTGGTGAATGCTCATCGAAGCTTCTTAGCTGCAAAGGAGTGGATCTTAACAAGTTCTTGTTTGTAATCTAAAGTTGCCTTGACGGCCCACCGGCACTGCCATTGTAATCGCCATGTCACGTTCTGTTTTGGTATATCGGTCTCTGTAGATGGAGTGCAACACAGGGTGAGCTTCTGTGGCCCAGTATGCAGGGGCACTCAACTGTTTATCTAATATTTGCTTTTTCCAGCTGAGGGCTGGCACAACGCAGTGAGAGCCAGAAGGATCCTGATGTTCGCTCTTTGACTGATGCTCGGCGCCGGTTTTCCAGCGACTGTTTGACTGAATCATTGTTGTTGAAGGTGTAAACTGATATATATATATATATATGTATATAATGAGTACTGCATTGGTCCATGTGCTTTGTGTGTATATGTCCAAGGAGGCCCTCCGTAGCTCTGACTGTGGACAGTCCCACATCCCATGCTACGCTACAAAAATCAAGGAGGGCAAGGCAAAATGGCGTGAGAGGAGGGTGTCGAGGGGTTCGACGTCTTCAAGTCTCAGTACCTCAAATCAACCCACGACTGAGACGGAGACACCTGAGAAATCCAAAGTGGGTTCTGGTGAGACACCACAACACACACCCTGTGCTGACAGTGATGTGGAAGTTGTTGAACTTTCTCCTGAGATACCTCATTCAACTGCCATGGATGACCTGCGCCCACTGGATTCTTGCAGGGAGGATTCCAATCGATCAGAGCTTTTGAAGGAAGCCACACCAGAGGGAGAGAAGCAATCGATTGATGTTGGTGACCGTGTTGAAGATTGTTGCTTGGATGGTTTAGTGTTCAGTGCCTCAAACCACATGCCGAGCATGTTTTCAGTGGTAACTTGGCTTAGAACCGTGGTTCCTGGCAGTCGCCCAGGTGCCCGTGATGCTCATGTGCTTTTGGGCGACCTGAAATCTCAACTTCGTGCTCGATTGGAACGTCATGCTCAGGAAATGGCTCAGAGGTGGCTCCATTCTTGTTCTGCTGTCGGCTGCTTTTTTGAATTGTTTGATGGCATTTTTACAGTCTCCTTGCCAGGTGTGGAGACAATGTCGATACTTTGCCAATGGATGATGACACTCATCAGGTCCGAATTGAATGCTCCTGATAGTCTTAGAGTATCGATCAATTAAGCTTGCTCACGTGCTTTTCACATGTTGATTGTGTATGAGTTTTGCACAGGATGCCATGCTGATGACGTTTGGAGTTATGAATGAGGTTTGGGAACTTTGCACAACTGTCTGCAAGTCGCTACCGTTTCTTTGGGCTGCTTTTTGCGCGCTGTCGTTCCGATGGCAGGCACCTGCCACATGCATCCTCTTATCGGATGACGATGGAGACCTTGGTGTTGAGAAGCCATCTCTGCCATCTGAGAGACTCGGCAAACTCTTGGGCTTACTTGGCTTACTTGCTTTGACGCATGTGTTCACCTCAATTGGCTGTGTTGGAACCAGGAATCCCAAGATGTTTGATTGCCTTCTGGCTGCTCCTGGTGACAAGGAGCCGCAGGTTGAGCTTGACTCAGGAGTTTTGACGTCAAGCGAGCAGAATGCGCTTCGCAAAGCGAAGCGCAAAGAGAACCGTGAGAAAAAGGAAGGTGGAGAAAACACTTCAAGCAGAAAAGCAAGAACCAAAGCAAAAGGCAAACGAGCACGGAAGGATCGCAGAACGAGGAATAGCAGCGAGTGCGAACAGAGTAAGGCTGATGGTGTAGTGGGTCCCGATGGAAAGGTACAGGTCAACAAGAGGCGAAGGATAGACGCCAGGTTTGTTTCCTTGCCTCCTCCCAAACCTGAGAAAGCCGCTCGAAAACCGCGAGCCACGCTGACGCCTGAAGAGAAGAAGTGGAGAGATGACATGAAGGAGAACCTTGTTTGTGCTAAGAGCCAAATTTGGGTACAGTATATCTTATAACTATATATTATATGAAGTAATTATATAGTGCTTGGATCTTTTTTCCTGACCTTCCCTGCGTGCGTTGCTTGCAATGGTACTTGAGGAACATTGGGCAGTTTAAGACTGTCCGCGTTGAAGTCTACTGGGCGTTGAATATGGTGAGGCTCCGGCCCAAGCAAGGCAACGGAGGGATTTGGAGCATCAAAATGGCGAAGGAGAAACTACCTGTGGCCATTGAGCTTTGCAACAGTGCTGTTGCTAGGCTGTGCTGAGGTTCTGTCCCGCAACACTTGCTTATCTGCTTAGTTGGCTTCATGTGTTTGTTGTTGGCCTCTGTTGGCCTCAGGCTGAGCTGGCAGAATCGGGGGTTCCGCACAACGAGATTGAATCTGAGATGGACATTTTGATGGATCGACTCGTGGCTGAAATCCTGGAGAAGAAAAGGAAGACCAGCCAAGAGGGCTGAAATCGCAGCAGTGCCAGTGATCAATATGTCTATATAATACTTGTGGGTATGTACCATATATATATATATATACATAGATTTGTTTAATCAATTTTTTACCCCTTAAAAAGACTTTGCGATGAGACTCTTGTTTTGTATAGATAATTCCATTGGTGCTGCTGGCTTCTCTAGTGCGCGGCGCGATGTTTGTTGTCCTGGAACCCATGGCAGGTGTTTTGGCAAGGAGTTGTGCAATGCTTGTAAAGTGTTTCAAAGGCTGGTCTGTGGTTTCCAGGAGGGGGTGTTTCAGAGCAACAAGCTCTGAAGCTGGACGAGCAAGCAGCTGCAGTAGGGGCTGTTCTGGGGTAGGCGTGCTGAGTGCTGTGTCTCCATATAATATATAATTTAATGCACTGTGCATCATGTGTTTGACTATTTGCCAAAAAACACACATGGCATTGTCTTGAACCTTTCTGGCCCCAGTCCTTTGCCACGTGCAGCAGCTTGTTTTTGGGGTATCTGCAGATTGGGTGAACCCAGTCAGTCAGAAAAACGCACAAACATGCACAAACACTTTCATACTTCACTTGCAAGTCGAATGTTCTTTGGTCTTCAGACTTTGGGCCCAAATGTTTGTTGCTCTTGCTGCCCAGGCCTTACAGATCGATGGCCCGTGAATGCTCGGGATCATTCTTTGTACTTTCAGGCTGTGGGCAGTTTCGCCAAGAATGTTTGGGGCTCTGAGAAGTTTAGAGACTTGGTGCGTCTTGAGTTGTCCTTCATCAGAATGGCCTACCAAACCACAATCTAATCTCGTTGTGTGGAGGTGCCCTCTCCTTTCACAACTACTTCTTGGCCGGTGAGGCGCGCATTCGTCCTTTGGAACAACCCTGGAGGATCAACTCCACGTGAGCCACAAACGAAGACTGCAGAAACAATTGTGCTTGCCGGAGTTGCCCAGCACAGCCTCCTCG